TATCTTCATGGAACATTATCTTTACTTAATATCCTAATGATTTTTGGCATAAAAGAAAAATTGATAATTTTGACCCATACAATGCATTTTTGGCTATTGCTACCAATATGCCCCAGCGACTTAAGACTGCTTTTGTGCTCCAGGGTCAGGGCCTTTCACTTTCCTTTTATCATTCCTATTTGACTGCAGCATGAATACATTTTCTCTAAACTCCATTTGACACAATATTTTCTTTGAGCAATTCATCTCAGTTTGGCGTGGAGAAAAAGAGAAAAAAAATTCAAAGTGTTATTGCTGATCGTCAAACAAATTAAAGTTCCCTGGTTTCCATAAACCATCAATATATTGTATTTTTACCTTCCAATGCCAGTTTGTTGGTAGTTTTCACAAGCAGACATGGTGATATGAAGCAAACATTCACGTACACTCATTTACAATCATACTTATATACATAAGAGCATAAAAATAACATTGAATGTAATGTAAAATATAAAAACAAACAAAAAATTAGTTAACGTTTGTAAAGGATATACAACATAAGCCCGTGTTTTCTGTGCAAAAAGTAAGTGGGAGACATTCTGAAAGGCAAACTGGATCGACATCAGAGATTGAATTTGTGCTGGTGCAAAAGGCCAAATAGATCCGATCACCGGAAGCAGCCGAACACGGACACCCAACCGGGAGCCTTTAGACTCACGTTTACAACACCATTTTGCTGTACCTTCACTGACTACAGAGACTAATCGACAGAAAAGCCTAAACAAAACCTAACAGAGGGGAGGTCAACTCTCTCTCAACTAACAAATACTACATATCTGGATGGGATTTTATAAACTGTATCAGTTGAGAGTTGTTGAGTGTGAAAGTTAAAATTCACTTCAGTGCTTTTACACCTGACCACAGGGGGCGTCTTTCAACTGCTAATTGGTAAACTGTCTTTCGACACGTAGAACAAGTGCTGTGGACACTTTCTCCTTTAAGAAGATGCATCACTTCTGACGGCTTAACACTAATATTGAAGGCAATTGCGTATGTTAAAAATGCACATATTTCACCACATATAACTGAGGGTTTTCGGCAATCAGTGACAATCTTTACTCAACTGTCATGTATACTAAACATTACACAGGTCATTTGATTGTTTTGTTTTTTTTGGTCATCAAGTGGCTTTATCATTTTTTTTTCCCCTTGGAAACGCAAAAATCTGTCCAGAAATGGCAAAGTAATATTTCACCCCAAAAAAATAAAAATAAACATTACAACGACGATTAT